TCGCGCCTATGACCGGGTCTGGAGGGCAGCCCTCTTCTGCAAGATGGCGCGACTGGGCATCCCCGGCTGTGTGATCCGCTGGATCAAGGCCCTGCTCTCCGACCGCCGTGCTAGAGTCCGATGGGGAGCTGCCCAGTCGGACTCGCGTGTCTTCAAGGAGGGCCTCCCGCAAGGTAGTGTCTTGGCACCCCTCCTATGGCTCATCTACGTCAATGACATCGACGAGGGCCTACCGGAGGGCGTGTCGCGATCCCTGTTCGCGGACGACGTGGCGCTACTGGCCGACGCCCGCACGCCGGAAGAGTGCGACGCCCACCTCCAGCCGTGTCTGGACAGCATCGGCGCTTGGCTGACGCGGTGGAAGGTGACGCCCAGTGTCTCTAAGTGCACGAGCACCCTCTTCTCGCTCGACCCCAAACAACAGAGAGGAAGAGTCCGGCCAAATCTGAAGCTCCACGGACAGGAGATCACCGCCACCGAACACCCGACCTTCCTCGGCATCAAGTTCGATCCGCAGCTGACCTTTGCTGAACACGTCTCCGATCTGAAGGCGAAGATGGCCCGACGACGACGATGTCTGCAGGCGATGGCAGGAAAGACATGGGGCAGCCACCGTCGCACTCTCCGGACCGCCTACATCGGCTACGTGCGAGCGCTGTTTGACTACGGCGCCGCCGTAGTTGGCACACATGCAGCGCCGTCCGTCAGGGAGCGACTGGAGGCCGAACAGAACAAGTGTGCTCGCCTCATCACCGGCTGCATCCGTCTGACTCGCACGGACGCCCTGCTCGCCGAAGCCGACCTCCCGCCACTGTCGTTGCGCGCGAAGCAGCTGGCCGGACAGGAGTGCCAGCGCCTCGCCAGACTCCCCGCACTCGATCCTGCCAGGACCCTCCTGGAGAAGGAGGTGCGGCCCCGGCTGGAGTACCGAGCCCACCTGGCCTGGCGGAGAGACTGCACGCAGGCAGAGGCGGCGCGGAGGCCGCCACCGAAGCCGCCCGACGAGGACGCGGTGCTCACCAAGAAGCCGTGTCTCAGGCGGGTGGGCCGGTGGATCGCCGACGAAGCCGGGCTAAAGCAGCTGCCGACTGAACCACTGGCGTTGTACCAGTGCCGGCCGCCCTGGACAGTGGAGAGGACCCCCGCCCACTTTGTGGTGGACCTGCCCGCGCCCACGCGTCGCACAGACCCCCCCGACAAGCGCAGAGAGGCGGCGCTCCGGGCCATAGAGCTCCTGCCGCCCGCAGACGTCACCATCTGGTCGGACGGGTCGGCGAGAGAGGGGACGACATGTGGCGGCGCGGGCGCGCTGATCCAGCTCCACTGCCTTGGCCGTGAGGAACGTATCAGGGCCCCGGCCGGCGCAGTGTGCAGCAGCCTGCGTGCCGAGCTTACCGCCATCAGGGAAGCACTGGCTGGCTGTGATAACCTCTCTACCTGAAGAAGACCGGGAGTCCGTCCGCGCAGTCCGCCTTCTAACCGACTCCAAGTCCGGCCTGCAGCAGCTCCAGAGGGGACCGGCCGGCCAGGTGACCGCCCTGGCCGCCGACATCTGGGAGTGCCTACACACCCTCAGCGAGCGTGGCACCACCGTCACCTTCCAGTGGGTGCCGGGGCATGCTGGCCTGGACGGAAACGAACACGCCGACCAGCTGGCCGGCGAAGCGGCCGCTGCGGAGCAGCCGGACGTCCAGATCGACTTCGCCAGCGCCAGAAGCGCGATCGGGCGCCGGGTGGGGACGATGGTCGACGCGAGAACAAGAGCGTCCCACCCCCACCCGGCGCCCACACCGGGCCACAACGACCTGTCCCGCTGGGAGGCATGTACCCTCTCCCAGCTGCGGACGGGCGCATCGCCGCTCACGCGGGACGTCGCCCACCGCCTAGGCCTGGCGGTGGACGCGGCTTGCCCTGCGTGCGGCGAGCCGGACAGCGCGGCCCACCTGCTGACCGACTGTCCGGCCTACGAGGCTGCGCGGCGCCGCCGCTGGGGACTCAACCCGAGCCTGGGGGACGTCCTCGGCGGACCGGCGCCGTTGGTGATTGAATTCATCCGGGCTGTCGGGCGGACCGACCCTCCGGTCGACCCGCCTGCGCCGTCGTCCCCCTAGGGGGGCGACGGGTGAGGTGCAAAAGAAGAAGAAGAAGGGCGGTGGCGGTGACAGCTGGCGGGCAGGGTGCAGGCGAGTGACTGGTCCGTCAAACGTCAACACCAGCGGTCGGCCGGCCGGCCACCAGCGGCCGACAGCGCGCCGGCACGCCTGCTCGCGCTCGGTGCAAATGGTGCACGCCGGCCGCCGTGTCGGTTGGACGCCTTCCGCGGCGGAAAAACAGTCACGCCAGGGGCGCTCGGCGCCAAGCCTGCGCGCGGAGCAGGCGGCCGGCCGTGCGGGGCGCTGTTTACGTATGTGTCGCGCGCCCGGCGCTACCGAGGGAGCAGCGTGGCCACACATCAACAGGCGGGCGCGGTAACAGGACACCGGCGCTGCACCGACCTTCCCATGCCCCGCGTCCCCCGGGGGAGACAGAGAGCAGAGGAGAGGAGAGAGGAAGTGGGGCAGAGAGAGGTCGAGGTAGAACGAGGCGACAAGACAGTTGAAGATGGAGCGAAGTGGGGAGTGAAGCAGCTGTCACGCAACCGCAGGCGTCAACATGTGTAGAGTGCTGGCAGTATCAGATGACGTACGTCACACATCACACATCAGCTGTCGCGCGTCAGCTGTCACACGCGTGATGTGCGGAGCGCGGAGCGTCACTGCGCGGCTGGGCTGGACTTCGACCGGGCCGACATTAGGCAAACAAGCAGCCATCATCGGCCGGAGACAGACGCCCCGCTTCCCCCGCGGCGTTCTAGAGGGCGAACCAGAGGGGCACGGCCGCCAGACCTGCGGCGGGGCAGGCGCCCCACTGAAGAGGGACAGACGCCCCGATCTGCGAAGGGGGGGGGGGGGAGGCCAAACAACGGCGGACGGGCACGGCTTGCTGCGATAAATCATCGACAGCGGGAGATATGGTGGGGAGAGACCAACGATTACCACAATCGCAGCGCTCGCGGCACATCCACTTCGCAGCTTCGGGCTTTGTCGACGATTTTCGCTCGCTGGTTCGAGATCATCGATCTGCTCTCTCTTCCACACTTATCTCACTGAGTGAACTGAAAACCCATCAGTTTATCCTTCAAATACATGGACTCAGCCTATCAGCACCACTAACCGTTTTTATGGCTTTGAAGTTACAGATAACTCCCCGAACGACTGTGTACTCTATAACCCGGCCTGCCATTCACCCTCGCCCGGCACACGGGGTCCCACGGCGCGAGATTGCGCCACCGCCGTCCCATGATCCTCTGCGCGGGGGGCGCACACTCGAGCGGGCCGGCCGGTGACACGGGACAGGTTTACGGTGTCGGGCGCGCCTGGCACTATTTACAGTGACACGGCCGAGACGGACCGACCCGGCCCGGCGGCGGGCGCCAGACGGATCAGCGCCGGTGACGGACGCTCACCCCCGCCGGACAGACAGCCGGGACGGGTCACTGAGCTGACCCTGGGCGCGAGAGGGTGTCTGTCTGTCTGCGACAGGTGCCACACATCGCCAGGTCGGCCGTGGTCCTGCGATATTGTCAAAACGACCCACGCGTGGCCTCGATCGTCGCCTACATTCGGGATTCAGGTGCCCCGGGACCCCAGTACAGACTGGGACAGAGCAGCGCCCGGCCGGCCGGCCTTGTGACGCCGGTGTCGCAGCTGCCGGCGACAGCCGCGGCCTGTCACTGACAGCCGCATATCGCACCGCAGAATACGGACTAACATCAGCTCCACAGGCCGCGACAGTGGCACACGGCTCAGACGGCGCCCGGGCCGGTGACGGGGCCCCGAGCCGACCGGTCCGCCCTGGCCGCGCTCGAAGCTTGCAGCCGACCGCCAATGTCGTAAATTGCCACCAATCAGAGCAGGGTGAAGGCGCGGCGGGCCGGTGGTGCCGAGTGGCCGTGGGCCCATTCAGCGCCCAATGGGTACAGCTGTGGCTGGCGTGGGACGGCCGCGGACGGCCGCGGACTCCGTCAGGTCGGGGAGCTGAGCCTCCAAGCCGCCGCGCCGCGCCGGTGTCACGGGAATAGGCGACAAACACGTCGGGCCCGTCCGGCCAACGCAGTTACGCAAAACAGGCAGCGGCGGCGGCGGAGGACGGAGCCAAATCGGATTACGGTCATCTCACCGGGCCGCGCGGCCGCGCGGAATGCGAATATGCGTGTACCTAATGGCGAAAATACAATGAACTGGCAAACACGGACATACAAAGGGAATTAGGGGGCACCATCTATGGACACGCACACCTAAGGGAGATTTTATCACTAACAATGAACTCTAAGGTAGCAGCGGCAGCTGTATATGAACACCAGAGACAAAGGACACTGCGCACATTCACTGATAAACAGACAGACGTGTATTCATTGCAGACCGGCGCTGGCACACCGGGCCGTACAAACACCTGCTCACGCGATAGGGTCGTGAGTGCGCCGGCTGTATGAATGAACCGTCGGGCGGCCGGCGTCGGTCCAGTATCGACGTGCGCTGCAGCCGTCCGTCCGTGTACATACAGACGATCCGTCATCGGCAGCGGGAGGCCGACCACCTGTACAGACCGCCGCTGCCGTCGCCGCCGCCCACAGCCGCCCGCCGGGACCGAGGAGGCAGTATTGATAATTCGCCGACCCTTCACTGCACGACCGCACCGCAACGGTGACCCATTTCAGGTCCTCCACCGCACGCACCTCTCCCGTCCCCACCCACCCGACGGCGTGCGTGAGCCGGCGCCGCCACGCACGGTTCTTCGCATCGTCAACTCGAACAAACCAACGACGGCGACGACGACTAACGACGACGGTAGCGATGGCGAGGTTATCAGTACATAGCGAGTCACGAAAATGTGGTACAAAAACAACCGGGCGTGTGGAGTTGCCGAAATGTCTGTCCGTGACACCAGTGCTCGGCACTCACCTGATTGATGCAAGCCGCCGCGTGCTGTCTGAAGATGATTGACCGGCTTGTGAGACTTATGCGATAAACGGCTGCTGACGGCGTGGATACAGTCCGAGCGACACAGCTCCCCCTCACAGTCCTCGACCTGTACAAAGTCTTCCTCCCCTCGGACACCTGGCAGAGCGCAGGAGCGGCTGACGGGCGCACCCCACCCGACTGACGACGAACTCGCACTGCCCGCCGGGCGGCCGCCGTGCGACGACCGGCCCCGAGCCGCCGGTCTCGAGCTGCCAACTCCGGCCGCCGAGCGGCGCTAGTGTCGCGCCGGACTGCTCCGAGCAGCCGCGGCGGGGGTCCTCCGGGGCCGGCAGGCCGTCCGACTGGCCCAGGGAACGTGAGGTGCTGGATGTCACCTCCCCGTAACTAGTGGGTTCTCATTAAAGAGGGACATTAAATCAGCCTCCTATTCCGACGCTGCGCGCGAGGCCGACCATGCGGAGCTAAACACAGCCATCAACAACATGCGGTAATATTACATCAACTTTCGCAAAAATTGTAGCTTCGGAGGATAACCATTACCCGTGTTAGCCCCGTGCGCTTAGATATATGCATTTGTTCCAGCAAACTAAAATGAAGACGAGTGATGCTGTAAAAGCCGGCGTAGATGGTAGGTGCGCCACAATTTGTTATCTGCAAGTCAGTATTCACATGTGAGAAATTTGAGTCTCAGACCATTTAGGCAGTAATCCATCACCACCAGTATTTCAGGCAAGTGATGTGTGATTTATCATTGAGAACCATTCAAAATCCTTTGCATATGAGTGCCGACAAACAGCATATCGATTAATTAAGCTCAAAGGCTCTCCTCAGTCCAAAATATTTTAGACGGTTACGAATGAATAAATATAACCTATTCGATCGTTTTTTACTCACTCGTGTCACTAGATATCGCCAATATAAGACTATAGCATAAAAACAAAAGCTTCTTTTCTTATTCATCTTTTCAGTAAAGCATGTCCTTCTAAAATTAGGTACATTTCGCGTTTGCGAACCCCATCGCGGCAGGGCTGCGTAGTCGAAGTCGGAGTCTACACTTACAGTACTGCCCAGAGTCGAAGAAGCCGATTTTTTAAAAGCTAGTTCGGAGGTGGAGTCAGTGTCACTGAAAATCTATCGACTCCGCAGCCCTGCTTCGCGGTATTTGTTTCGACAACCGACGTACTGCCGCTGTGGTCAGCCGATGGAAGCGATCCCATTATTTTAGTAAAGCTATCCCGAGCCTGGAATGATGGTCAGGTATCGCTTCAGAAATGGTGAGGCACAACCTCACATATAGGCTAAGTCGTGCACGTTTACGTGAAAAGCTAGGTGAAAGCTCAATGGTTTGATTATGGAGTGATAATTTTGATCACAGATCGTTTAATGTCTTCTTTTGAGTTTTATTGGCACAATTGCATGACACAAGCAAGCCAATATGCAGGCTCCCTTTCATCTCGCATAAAGCCATAATTCTTTTATAGACCGCTGTTCTGGAATCGAGATGAGAAATTGCACTCCATGCTGGGATCGTCACACAAAGTTCCCAGACGAACGAGTGTCGGGAAGTCAAACAGTGACAGCTTTAGGCGTTTCTCGCAACCACACCACAAAACCGCAAGTGCCTCAGACAGTGATAACTCCTTCCCCGACAGAGGCATCTCTATAGCCGAGACGTCATCCCAGAACTGAGCCTCAGCTCTGCCATCACTCCCGACACTCGCGCCTGGAATGAACCCAAATAAAACGTGATCACTGGCCTGAATGGAGCCGCCGTAATCCCATCAATGTCGCTCGTTCGTTGGGCGGCCCAGTCGGTCCTGCGAACACATCGCTGGATCGTGGTAATTTACGGCGCCATGATTCAAACGGTCAGCCGGCGCGGGTCGTGCGCCCGACTCGACAGATCGCTACCCGCTCCTCCCCAAGGGTCTCCCCTGCACCCCCACAACTATACTATCAGCTATTGCCAAACAAATCTGCCGGCGAGGGCCGCCAGCCGGCGACCTTCCGCTGATGGACGATATCGCCACACTTCAGGCGCGATGTAAACGAATGGCCTTCATTAGTGGCGTCGCCAGAATCGTCTTCATTAGTGCGCTTAGCTACGACCGTCTCGGTGCAGCCAGTGGCGCGCGGTGGCGCGGTGGCGGCTTTGGTGGCGCCTTGGCGACGATAGTTGCGCGATGGTTGCGATGTTGTCGCGGTGGAGGCGTTGGCGCTGCAACGTCTGGCGATATAAAGTGCCGACTTTTTCCTTCACGACAGGCCATCTTGAGTATGAGAAATAGATTGGTGACACCCCACGGACTTGGCTGGCATGGAAAAGCCGGCTGAGGCGCAGAAGTGTCGTTTATAATTTAGTGCACCGTCTGGAACTTGAATCAGAAACGCTCACCCCGTGATGAAGAGATTACCAGTTTTATTAAAACCCAGCCGGTGACATTCAGCTAGTGACTGTCCGTGCAAGGCACATCATATCACTCCGCGGCTCAACCAGGCGTGTGAAAAGTTCTCATTTCTTAGGTGACAAATGTATGTCACTGGAGACGTACCAAATTCCCAGATAAAGACACCTGAGCTTGTAATACCCGCCGCCAGCTCGTCCGATAAGACTAGTGCGTCACTGGCTCAGCTCACCGTAAGCTCGTGTTCCGCGGCCATCACGGCCCCGCGACGCGCCGTTCGTTTGCCGCACGGAATTTCCGCATGTGCCATTTTGGTGCCGAAATAACGTTGGCGCGAAGATTTGTGGTCTCTTTATTTTCCAGCAGGTAACAATTTCGCCCTCTCATCACCATTTGGCGACGGATATCGGCCGGCGCCGCCTCTGTTCGGCCGTTACGCTCTTCATGACGTGTAACGCAGATGAAACTCACGTCCGCGCGCCGTCTCGGAGCGGACAAAGCGGGTCTCTGGGCGCTGAACAGCGGACGGCGGCGGAGAGGCGGCGGGGAGGCGGCGAGGCGGCGGCGAGCGTCCGTCCGGGAGCCTGTTGCCGGTCTTTAGAAGTCGATATAGCGGGCGACGGGTGTCGCTGACGACGGCCGAGTGTCGCTCCGTCGCCGCGCCGGCCATTAACTCGGTACGTGCTCACGGGGCGCCGCTGTTCCGATTTCCCCTCGCTCCCCGTCCCTCAGCGGACGGCGATGAAGGGTGGCTTCCGGAGGCGGCTTGGATTACCTCTGTATCCGCATCTGGGAGGTTTTGGTTCGTTCAGGTCCGACTTATGGCTCTCTGCGGCCACAGGTCGCGTGGCAGAGCGAACTATTTTTTTTTCGGGTCCATGGATGTGATTTCATACTTCTCGTACCTATATTTAGCTTCATGACACAGTTTTAGAGTTCCGACTTGATGTTTTTTTTGCAAGTTATTACATTTACCAGACACTCCGGCTCTGTATTCCCTGTAAACCCATCTCATTGCGACTGCCACTCTTCCAGACCCGTCGCTCTGAAGGAAGCCCTCTCTGCTCCTGCGTCCTTCCCTCGGTTACATGCGTCTGTAAGCTCCCTGGTTTTTATGAACTGGACCTCGCTGCTTCCCAACTCATGCTTCTCTGATCAACTGCAGCGAAATGCTGCGACAGCAGAATGACGGCAGCGTGGGCTGAAAACCGCGCCAGAAAACCGAATCGGAACTCCCGATTTCCGGAGCCCCAGCGAAGTGCCAATATTTTGGGCGGCTCGATCCGGCTAGTCCTCGGCAAGTAACTGCTCTCACTCTAAAGGATGTGAATCGGATTCTCTTATCTCGGTTTAAAACGCACCCGCTGTATCAGCATTATCTCGGTACATTTGTTACCGATCGTCAGGAGGCATCCTTATATCTGCGAAGGTGTGCAGCGAACAGGTAACTGACAGGATGATTTTAAAAATACTGTGTGAATGCTGACTGGCTATGCAGAATAAGGCAGTGGTCCAATTAGTCGGATGAAAATATTCCTTATGCTCATCCCATTCTATTCGTATTCATATAATATGGGATTATCATACTTTGAACGGGCTATTCAAAGCGTGAAACATGATAGAAATATTGAATGGTTGACGATTTTGCTAATTTCTACAAATACCTCCTATAACTGCAGAGATTGAAATTGCATCACAGCAATCATAAGCATGACATCAGAAGGAAATCAGCACATGCAGATATTTGAACTTAACGATAAGCAAGCATCCTATGTGCAATGAATCGTATCTGACCTTATAAATGCCACATAAGCTTGAAACGGCATTTACGAGTGCAAGCTGCACACGCCCAACTGACTTCATTTACTCATGGTAATCAGCTGTTATAGTCCATTTTTTTTTTCAAAAGGCTCATGGCCCGAAGTATTATTTTGGAATTGGCACGTGCGAGACGCTAGAAAATAACGCAAGCTGAGATGAATTTCTCGGCCATTTTTGAAAGATAAGCACAGTGCAACGGAGCAAGTTGTTCAATTTAGCTTTTAAATCGTGTCACGTTGCAGAATGTGAGTAAATTCATAGATTTGAGCCATTCTGTTGATTTTGCATGCAAATTTAACGTCACTCCTGTATTAACCTTGATTCCACAGCCAGCCCATCACTTGAGAAATAGCAAGCGGCAACTATTTAAACATTCAAGACAGAATCTGTCGGGGGCCGGAATTCTGAGCGGCAAGCTCATGGAAAACATGTCATTATTTGCTGAAGCTGGTGACGTTTCGTATTGTTGTCTTACATTGTGTTCTCGCATGCTACCTACAAACTTCAGTCGTCTTTTTATAAGTCTTTCCAGATTTAGTTTGCGCATAGCCGACTTCTTCCCAGTGCAGAAATCGATCGATCAGCATTGTAATAGATCGGCAGATATGCTGGCTCATGTTTCTTTTTGTACTCAACAGGAATAAATCAAAAACAAAATGTCAATCCGTGTGTTACTTTTGTAGGTCTACAAACAGGTCATCCACGTCATCAGTTTAATCATTTGTTTAGTGCCTATGGCTAGACCCCGTGTGGAAGCATTTTCGATTCACAGTTCCTCATTATTAGTCGAATCAATGTCTATACTTTTTTTCCAAACTATCGCAAGTCAGATACCAGCCGACCGAGCCGGCCGGTGATTTCGAAATGTGCCAAGCCGGTGTTCGCAGCCCCCACCAAATCTTCATCTGGCATCGGCATTTTGCTACTGATGACGCCATTCCTAGCAACCGAGCGTCCCTAGCAACCGAAAGTGAAGACGTTGCACCTTCAACAAACGAT